TTTTTTTTTTTTCTCCTTTCCTCCTTCTTTCCTCCTTCTTTCTTTCCCCCCTCTCTATTTTTCTATAGAAATACCATTTCTTGCTTTGAGAAGGCTTTGAATATTTGCTGACCCACTTGCACCTGTGGTCCCCAGGTCAGGGCTGATGATGCTCCTCAGCATCCCAAGTCCTTCTCAAATAGCAGCAGAGCAGGGTGGGGTGGTGGGAGCATAGGCTGCCTCAGATGGAATCATCATAATGGTCCTGCCAGCCCTTTTCACTTGAGAAAATGAAGTTCCTACAGATTAAAAACTCTTAAATAAAGCCTAACATACACACACACAAACAATCACTGCTTCTCTTCATTTAAGTTTACTCTTTGAATAATAGAATTTTGCCTTAATCTTTCTGTTCTACCCCAAATCTCTGGCAGATTAAAGAGTTTAAGAATCAGCATAAGATTGAGAGTGCATTCTCAGAAAGTGAAACAAATCATTTGGAGCAGAAGATCTTGGTTTCACCAGTGGTCCTTCTGTGACAGCTCCTTGGTTTGTATCGCACAAGGGAGGATGTGGAGATGTTCTCCAAGGGTGCTTGTATGGAAAGAGAGGAGATCCTTCCACTCTTTAAGGGCATTTTAAAGGGCACCAATGCTTCACTGCTCAATTTAAAAAAAAAAAAATTCCCCTACAAGTGGGCTAGGAACAGGGTCCTGTGTGCCCTTTTTATCCTTACAAAGCTAATTGTGTATGGGTTTCATGAGTATCTCTGCTCATGGATGTTGCTTCTATGAATAGTCTTCTCATGCAGCCCAGCACTGAACCTATACTTCTCAAAGGACCCAACACTGTAAAGCATTCATCTTTTCAAATGAATTTATTAACTGCCTGAGATAATTAGAAGAGTAAACGAAAGTCATGATCCATCCATGCATCATATTTCCTCTGTAATTACCTTTATGGTTTTCTGTCAGTATCCATAACGTCAACTGAAAGCCCTGCTATGCTATATATAAAGCAGGAGATGTTTGGTTTGGAGCCTGTTTATTTAAAGGGGTGGGTCAAATATGTATATATTTATATTTAAAAAAAAACCATCAGCCTCCCCTCAGTTGTCCTCACCTTTCTGGAGAATGAAGGATGGAGAAGAGTCAAGGGAGGGGAGCATGATGTTAGCAGGAGGAAATTGTGAAAAGGAGCATTTATGGGATGGCAGCAGGTAAAATTCCTCTGGACTGCTTCTCAGATGAAGTACTGGAGTTCAAAGAAATGTTTTCTTCTGGGATTTTTTCCTATACTGAAGAGTAGAGGCTGTCCTGCTAACTACACCCACTGGTGCTCCTTTACTGGGGCTACCAGTGCCTCTTTGGCCTTAGCAGGTAGAGACCCGCCATCAACACCAGATTTCATTTCTGCCACCCAAAAATGTGCTTTGCTCTCCAATAGTATCCTTTGCAGATGGTGGAAAACTCTCCATGGTGGCATCAGAATTTGGGGAACAGGGAGGGTGCCGCCTTTCCAAAGGGGGATTGAAAGCAAAACAGGGGATGGGGGAAGACAATGTGAGACAGAGACTGAGTAAACCTGTACTGTCAGAGCATGGGCTGGATGACCTAATAGGCTTCTCACATTCCTGATCTGTGATTTATAAATGTGCTTTTTGGTCTCAGCAAGTGACTCCAATAACTGAGTTTTCTTTTCCATCCCCATTACCCTTTACTTTTTCCTCCCGACGCTTGGAGATGTTTCCAATTATAGGTTCTCACAAGCAAAGGCATGAAGTTCAGGCCTGGGAGATGTTCAGAAAACACCTTCCTGCATCTTACTTTTTTATTCTTGGCGGGCTCCCTGGAGCTTGGCTCATTCGACAAGAAACAGCCATTACTGCCATTTACTGAATTCTTCCCAAAGGGGCTGCAGCGTTTCCTCTGTCGACCTTCTGGCAGATCTTTTCCCCTCTTCTATAAAGCACATTTCATTCTCTAATGGTGATAATTTCAGGCCTTTGGTAATAATGCCATGCTACAGCAATCTCTTTGTACCTCTTTAGTCCCCTTTCTTCACAACCAGTATGAGCTTCAGTCTGTGTTCATCATTCATTCCAACTCAAAGGTGGTTATTTCTGCTGTTTGATTTGTCCGTAATGGTGAGATGCAGGTGCATCAATATAGTCTTCCAAATCATAGAATCATAGAATCATGGTTGGAAAAGTCCATTAGGATGGTCTAGTCCAACTATCAGCACATCACCACCACTGCATCCACCACCAAGTCCTTTAAAGACACTGAAGACCTCCACACAGATCTGGAAGATGTGGTGCAGGACCTATCAGATAGATGGATCCTTCTTGAGGAGCAGCTAGGGCCACAAGGGACAATCCAAGTTGTATTTATGGCTTTTATCCAAGTAGCAGCAAGGTGCTTCAATCTCTTGCCTGATTGTTACTTCAGCCCACTGCTGAGAGTTGCTGATAGGTTTTCTGGAATAAACTTTCACAGATTTCTGGCACCAGGTGCTGGAGGTTGGACTCATCTCACCCATCTCTGCACTTATAGAGCTCAGATGGCTGCATCCAAGCTTGATGCCTAAGTTCCCCCTACAGATAGTGCAGAAAGAGCACTTTCAGGGCATGAGTTACTTTAGCCTCACTGATACTGGCTGCCCAGAGAGGCAGTGGATGTCCCATCCCTGGGGACATTCAAGGCCAGGTTGGATGGGATTCTGGACAGCCTGATCTAATGGTTGGCAACCCTAGAGTGGATGGAGCTCAATGATCTTTAGGGTCCCATCTATCCTAAGCCATTCTATGATTCTGTAATTATTCTGCTGTAGATCTCCAGTGTGCATCAACTGATTATCTTATAGGAGCTCCATGGGTCAAAGAAGGACCCTGGAGGACTAATATGAAGTCCTCACCATGGAGGTTTGCAGTCAGATGACATTGGTACTGTTCCAAGACCTATGCTCTCTGCCTTCAAGAGCATGGTATGTCTGAGCTCACTGAGCACTGGGTGCAGAATTTCTGACAATTAAATACTCTACCCACTTCTTACCCTTGTCCAAAACTTTTGTTCTCTGTATATTTAATGAAGCTCTCTAAATATCTGTATGATGTATATATTTACATTGCTAGCAGAGTGGTGGTTTCCCTTCCAAGTTTGCCACTGATTATCCAGCACCAGAAATGCCAAATTCCAGTCGCCTGGGAATTTGTCAGCACAGACCTGCTCAGCCCTAGCAAGGATTTTAGCTTTTTCCCACTCACGGAGGAATTGGGGTTAGCAGTTATGCACAGCCTGGGGAGAGCTCCAACATACACAGCAGCTGGTTTGAGCCAACCTTGAGGTAGTTGGTGGAATATAGATGTGTTTTCCTGAAAGCTGGAGATCAGAGCTAATATCCCTGATCTTGGTTAGGGCTCATTTTTAGCTCCATTTCCATCTCATTTAACTTCTGAAGGACGTGGATGTTACAGCAATAAAGTAAAATATGCCCAGAAATGTGTCTGCTAATATGCCAAACTAACCAAGATGGCTTAGGATGAAACTGAAAGGCAACATTTAACAAGGAGAGAAGGAAATATGTGTTAAAGCAGTTGTGTTGCCAGGATCATATGCCAGGTACTGATGCAGCCAGCTAGAAAGTTGTTTTATGGGAATGAATAACATTTATGACTGCTCTAAGCAGGTCATAAAGATACAAAGAGAGTTACACACCAGACTTCTGCTGATCATTTTGGGTGCTTGAGAAATAATAGCACAGCATGCTCTGAGGCATGGCACCATTTGCTTTTTTCTTTTTTTTTTTTTTAACCTGGAGCGTGAGACATTGCATACTGCAAGAACCAATGGGGCCTTATGGGTATTGCTGATTTCTTCCATGGTAACTTGCATTCTGGTTCTAGTGGATTCTTCCTAAGTTTTGACCATGATAATCTCTTTGCACGTATTTGCATTGTGCTTCTGCACTAAATCTTCAGAGACTGGAGAAATAGACTTAGATATCTACGTGCAACAGTGATGGAACTGGTGGAGGCCCTTGGCATTAACTCCATGGGAAAGCATCTGTTTTGCAAACTTGGTGGCTTTTCCCTAGATCTTGCAGGGGATTTTCTCTATAATTAATCACATGACATTTAGTATAATCCTTAGAGTGTGTGAGACAGATGCTGAATGCAAATCACTGATAAAACCAGCCTCACTTTTTTTTTTTCTTCTGAATACCACTGTCATGGAGGACCCAGCTTTCCATTATCATGGATCCAACGGGTCGTTTTCCACTCTGTTGGGAGGTCTGTCCTCTTCATTCTTCTGCAAAAAAAAAAAACCTTCCCATAAGTATTTACACAATCAGTCAACTTGGCATTCACCCCAGGAGATTTGTTCTGGCTCCTCTCGACGATGGCAGAAACACACAGGTTTCATGGCGAACTGTCCCACCCATCTTCAACATTTACCTTAGATGAGATAAATGACTCTGAACAGTTTCCCATCTCTCTCATCAACTTAAACTAGGCATGTAATTTGCATGTAGCTAATATTAGGTCAGCTGAACCTAGGCCAAAGCGTTTGCTAGGTTGGAGGTAGACAAGAAATTAATACTGACACGAAGACTGACTTTTTGTGGGTTCTAATGCCTTTTTTTTGCATGTGCTTGTCTCCTCAGAGCTCTGTCCAAGACTCCTTCGGCTTTGGCCCTAAATCAAACCCAGCACTGCAAGCAGCTAGAAGGCCTGGTGGTTTCCCAGGTGCAATTGTGCCGCAGCAACCTGGAGCTGATGCAGACCATCATCCAGGCGGCACGGGAAGTAATAAAGACCTGCCGTAAAACTTTCTCAGACATGCGGTGGAACTGCTCTTCCATCGAGCTGGCTCCTAACTACCTGCTGGACTTAGAGAGAGGTAAACAGCACTGCTGCCTTGGGTGGGGAGCAGAGGTTGGAGAAGATGTACCTGGAGGTCTCTTCCAACCTCAGCCATTCTGTGTGTCTATGATTCCTCCACATGCTCCAAAAGCAGATCATACCCCAGTAGACAAGTTGCATGACCCCAAGTACCTCTTTCCCCTGCTAAGATCATAGAATCATAGAATGGCTTGGGTTGGAAGGGATCTCAAAGATTGTTTAGTTGCCAGCTACCAAATCAGGCTGCCCAGGGTCCCAACCAATCTGGCCTTGAAGGCCTCCATGGAATGGGCACCCACAGCTTCTCTGGGCAACCTGAAATTGGATGTTGTCTCCCATGATGAAGAGCTCTCACTGGAGATTTTCTCCAAGCCTGTAGAGGTCTCAGCTGCAAGGAGGCAGCGTGTTTGCCGTTCTGTGGGGCAGAGATTATGTGGGTCTCTTTTTGGGGAATACTTAGCCATCCCAGAAGCCTGAGTTGGAGTTTCTTATTTCTTGCAGGTACAAGGGAGTCAGCATTTGTGTATGCCCTTTCTGCTGCTGCCATCAGCCATACCATTGCCAGAGCCTGCACCACCGGGGACCTCCCTGGCTGTTCCTGTGGTCCCATCCCAGGTGAGACACCTGGACCTGGGTATCGATGGGGAGGATGTGCAGACAACCTCAACTATGGTCTTATCATGGGGTCCAAATTTTCAGATGCTCCCATGAAGATGAAAAAATCAGGATCACAAGCCAATAAACTGATGCATCTGCACAACAGTGAAGTAGGGAGACAGGTAACAAATCCACAAGAGTTATTGTACTTGTACAGTCCTCTTTAGTGGTCGGTCGCTCTGTGAGGTTCAGTGTCTCTATCAGCTAGCGAAAGGAGCAGGTTTCTCCCTGATTGCTCTCAACTCCTTTGGCCTGCTGAAGACTGTGGCTATCAGTCATGCTGGACCTCAGGAGGCCCTAAATGATAATTCCAGCCCTCTAGAACCGTGGGTGGGATGTGTCATTGCCACACCTTCCACAGCCAAGGATGGCTGCGGCTTGCTTACCCCAGGAGGTGTGGTGGGGATGGGTCCCGTGGTGCTCTGCCAAGGGCATTGCACACATGAAGTGCTGTGTAAGCACAGAGGATTACCATCTGCCAGACGTGTCCAGCAGCAGCTGCCTCCTAGCCATCTCTGCAGCCAGGAGGGCTGATGTGTTCCTTCTCAAGCTGCTTTGCTAGTGATTACTCCCCTATCTGGCAGAAGCTGCTCTTAACAGCTTGCATTCAGTGGCTGTGCCAATGGAGGGATAACACTGTGCATGCTACTTGGCATGCCCCAAGGAGCAAATCCCCACCACGGCTCTTTATGCAGCTTGAGAAATTGGGGTGGGGAGCTGTAAAGGCTTCAGCAGTTCCCTGTGCTGGTTCTACTGCACGACTTGTCCTTCTAGGGCAAAACTTGGAGCATACTGAGCTCACTGGCAGCTTACTGTGTAGCTATGGGCTGAACTTACCTTTGCAGAGCAAAACCCAATCAAAATCACCCCCTCTGGGTGTTTTTCTCTATGGTTCCCTGCATTCCCACTCTATCTTATTATTATTATTATTATTGCTGTGTCTTGAGTTTTTGTTTGAATTGCAATGGGCAAATTTTCACTTGGGGTGCAGCATTGTCATGGCTGGTGGATTCACTGCTATATCGTACCAGACCAGAGCAGAACTGAAGTAAAAGTCTCTGCTGGCCCCATGCTCAGCAGAAAGGCAGGGTGTGGGTGCTTTGAATTCATCAGTGCCTTGACATCTGTTACCCAATGCCTAAACGTGTTGCAGGCAGACATGCACATTAAGAATCTATTTATGAATTGCTTTGATTTTCAGATCCTAATTTAGAGAGTATAAATGCAGCTCTATGTAGATATCTGATCAAAATTCAACATAGTCTGCTGGCTGCAAAAGTGTCCTGCTGAGAGCAGTTGGGGGCTAATTGTGATGAAAAAGGGCTGTGGGATTTCATTCCTTTTGCAAGTAGCTGCTCAAGCACAGCCGTGCAGAAATCAGAGCAGCAGGCCTTTTCTATAGCAGTCTCCATTAAGAAAAAGTCTTATTTAGTAAGCTTGTGGGATGTTTGGACTTAAGAGCAGGACATTTCCTAACTCCTGCATTCCTTTTTGCAGGTCTTGAAAGCCTCTCTTGAAATGAAATGTAAGTGCCATGGAGTTTCTGGGTCATGCTCTATCAAGACCTGTTGGAAAGGCCTTCAAGAGCTGCGAGACATTGCACTGGACCTCAAAAACAAGTATTTGTCAGCCACCAAGGTCGTTCATCGGCCCATGGGCACACGCAAATACCTCGTGCCAAAGGATATTGATATCAGACCGGTTAAGGAGACAGAGCTGATTTACCTGCAGAGCTCGCCTGATTTCTGCATGAAGAATGAGAAAGTGGGGTCGCACGGGACCCAGGACAGGTGAGGGTTTCTGCACTCTGTGCCCCTAAGAAGAGGCAGAGGGGATCATGTATGAATAATAGGCAAATCATTGTGGGGGTAGCGTACATGCACAGGCAAAAATTATCTCTGATGATCAGTGCAGTACAGAGATGCCCAAGACTCTCAGTGATGGTTGTGGCTAATATGGAGCCGTAGATACCTTGCATTATAGAATTAGGCACAAAATATCTTTGAAATACCCTAGGAAAACCATATAGACCGCTCATCTCCACAGATACAATGATCAAGCAGATGATATTGATCGTATTGAGTTCCTCTTGCAATCATTGCTCATCTGATGAGCTGTTACTCTACTTTTAGGCAAGTAAGGCAAGAGTTAACCCAATTAGGACCGGTGCTTCCAGGCAGCCTTAAAAAAAGTCCTCTCACCCACAAGGATAAATCTTGAGGATTTTTATTCCATTGGCTTTTAAGAAACCATGTATGTTTGGATTGCTCATATCTATGAAGAGATATGACTTCATTCCATTAATATTGGTGATTCAAGGTCATCACACTCAAGCCTTCAGTGGGCACAGTGCTGTGCAGGAAGCAGACATGCATGTCTTTTCCCATGATTTGTGGAACTCCCTCTATGACAAATCAATTCCACAGCTGAGCACTAGACCCTCTGACAGCCAAACAGCTGTGTATCTCCAGAATTTTGCAGGATTTTCAGGACTTTTGTTCAGGGAATGTAATGGCTGGATTTCAAGATGGCTCATTCACTGCTATCTGCTGACTTGCCTTTTTTTTTCAGAGAGTTCCCATCATTATTCAGTGCTCTTTGTGCTACCTCGTTGTGCACTCTCAGGCTGTCATGTTGCAAGGTGCATGCAAGTGCTCTTTTGCAGGGCATCTTCCTTTCAACTCTTGTTGGACGTAATGGTCTTTCCATTGTGCATTGAATGTAGTGAAGGTTTTACTACGCCAGAAAGGAAGTAAATGACCTCAATGCACAAAAGATTAGACTTTTTTCAGTTATCTTTGATTAGTAGGAATTTATACTTAGGAGATTATAGAAGATATCCTTTGGTAGTGGTCATTTATTCTCTAGGATTACAATTCTATAGACTATATATCAGCATCCACAGTTGACCAGGTGAAGATGAAAGTTGTGTGAGACACCTTGTATGAAGCATTAGGAAGTGAAGATGTTTATGAGTCATTGAGGGTTGTAGAGAAGAAAGCATGTGCTAAAAGTGTTGTCTGAAGGAAAATGTCATTTGAGCAGAAGCAATGTTTCTATGGATTTGTATGGATTTTGACAAATTCTTGTTTTTAAAATGACCTATTTGTTGAAACTCCCTGTTTTGAAAAGAAAAACTGTGGAGGTTATTTGGAAGCTGGTTTTGTAGGAATTGTATGAAATCAAGAGGTTGTGTCAAAAACAAGTTGAATTCATTAGAGATCTGCCAAGTGAAACATTTTCCATGAACTGAAATCCTTTTAAAGGAGGAGGAAGACACGGCTTCCTATAATTTCATTTTACAGGAGATTTTGCCATCTTATCCCAGCGAGGGATGAAAAATATGTTGTGGTCTTGAGTGATCTTTTTTTTTTTTTTTCTTGAGGATAGGAAAATGCGTATTGCAGGCGTCCATTTATCCTGAGCAGGGTGAGAGCAGAGATTGTGAGCCTGCCAGGCAAGGATCCAGGGGAAGTGAGGCTGAGTGAGGACTTAGAGGAGCGAGATATTAAGGCAGGAGGGGATGACTTTCAAAAGAAACCTGTCAATAAGTGTTCCTTATTGTTGGATGTGCAAGATGATGATGACTATGAGAGGGGAGGAGAGTGAGATAGACCTATGTTGAGTTGTGGTCATCTCTTGGGCCACGCTGTAAGGTCATCTCTAGTTACATCCAGTGCAATTGAGAAGATACCTAGTGTCTCAAAACTAGCAGCTATAGCAGCCCCTTCTCTTATTTAAATCAGAAGGAATGAGTATAATGTGTTTGCAGATGGGCTCATTTTTCTTCCTCCTCCTCCCATGGATGCCTTTTTTCCTCTGAATTTTCTTTTTTTCTCTCACAGGGAGGACATTTCATGTGTTTTAAACACGATGGCTCTGTTCCAGTGGCAGAGATAGTGCTTGGTGACAGGGACAAGGAAGCAGGAGCACAAAGGGGCAGCTGTTGGAGAGAGCAGGAAAAATACATGGCTCATGCTTACCCCACAGCGGTGTAAAATGCTTGTTTGGAAGTAGCCCAAAGAGGTTTTTACTCTATAAGCCAAGTCCCAGAGCATCTTAACATTTTATCCGTGTTCACATCAAAGATTTTGGGGAGAAATCCTGCTTTTTTTCTACTAGGCTAATTTTTAAGGTTTTCTTACAGCAAATGTAATCAAAAAAAAAGGATTTTAATAGTGGTCTCTGAGTTTGTTTTCTCTCTTTTTCCGTCATTTGCCTGTTCCCTCTTTGGCCTCTTTGTGTTCAAGAACAGAATCATAGAATCCTCAAGGCTGCAAAGACCACTAAGATCATCAAGTCCAACCATCAACCCAACCCTGTGATGCTCTAGGCCATGTCCCTCAGTACAACATTCACCCTTTTTGGGAACACCTCCAGAGACAGTGATTCCACCACTATGCTGGGCAGCCTGCTCTAATGCATTCCCACCCTTTCTGACAAAAGATATTTCCTAATCATATCCAACATGAACCTCCCCTGGTGCAATTTAAGGCCATGAGCTCTTGTCCTGTGGCTTCTTGTAGGGCACTGTTGTGCAGACCCTTCTCACTGTGCTCCAGGAGACCTGAGTCTGGGCAGCTTCACCACTTTCCAGCCCCACTTTCTTCCTCTAAAAGGGTGTAGAAGGGCGAGGTTCCCATTAATAACCTTTCAGTTGTATTTGAAACATTCAGATTTTCGTTACAAAAAGTGAGTTGTCTTGCATCATAAGGAGGAAAAGTCTTTTCTGCTTGTTCATATCTCGCTCGGAGAATGCTGGGAGCAGGACAAGGCCTGCCATAGCTGCAATGCTTTGTTCATTCTGGGTTTCTGTATGCTCCAGGGAGCAACCCTGCATTAGTAGGTGGGTGGAAGGGATAATCTAATCGGTCGCTTCCATCTCTATAATTATCCTTCACATTGCTTGGGCTCATTGTGCTAACTTCAGGCAGGAAAGGGAGTCAAGTTACTTTGTAGTGGCACTATGTGAAAATCCACTCGGAAAATGCAAACCTGGCTACTCCAAAACCTTTCAGGGCTCTTCTCTGAAAGCTTTTTCAAAGCCTTGTTCAGCACAAGCCTGAAGTGATTTCTAAGACATTTCGGCCCTCCTTAGTTTCATGTTGAAATCAGAAATGGTTTGGGAATCCACATGCCTTCAAGCAGTTGGGGTGGATCCAGATTTCAAAGCCAGGCAGCTGAACACAGACCTGTGATTTGAAGCCTCACCACTCTTTGAAGTGCTCAAAATCTGATTAAGGAGCTGAATTTTGCAACTGGCTTGCTGCAGCCACAGCTTTCACTGATGGCAGCCAAACTCCATGGGTTTGTTTGCCACCATCATGCTTACATAGCTAATAATAATCGTCTGGAGAAAAATCTACAGGAGCAAATCTGTGGAGTAGCATGTGGATTATATGATTTTTGATATGAGTTAACCATGTGGAATGAGAGGTTGGTTAAGATGAAAGAGAATGGCCTTAAATTGCACGAGGGGAGATTAAGCTTGGATATTAGGAAATATTTCTTCTCAGAAAGAGTTGTAATGCATTGGAGCAGGCTGCCCAGGGAGGTGGTGGAGTCACCATCCCTGGAGGTGTTCAGGAACCATGGAGATGTGGCACTGAGGGACATGGCCACTGGGCATGCTGGGGATGGACTGGAGTTGGGGTTAATGATCTTGAAGGTCTTTCCCAAACTTAATGACTCTATGATTCTAAATACATATATATTTATACATATATATATATACTGCATATATATTTCAGAGCTTTCTTGGAAGAAAACACCCTGTAACTCATCTTTTAATGAGGTTGTTCGGTTTTCTCCAGACTGAAAAATTCATTATCAGCTTCATGCAGGAGATAAAGAATAGCAGATTATAAAATAGGGATCTCTGTTGTGAGAAAAGAAGCAAAAGTATTAACCTCCTTTATCAGTAGGGTGCAACGTATCGTATTTCAAAGTCTGTTTAAAGTCCCATAAGGAATCCAAGGAAAGAGAAATTCTGCAATACAGGCAAAGGCTTCTGATGCCTTGAAGGGATTACTGAGTTGTTTATTACTGATCTTTCCCAAAGCTGCTTTGGAGACACACAAATACTACTCCCTCTTTGCTGAAGATGGGAAGGAGCTCCCTTACACTACAGAAATTGGGTTGCAGTGTTGTTTTGAAGCCAAGCAGGGCTGATTAGCCACCACTCCTTTGCTGACTCACTTGGGCAATGAATATGGCCATCTTTTTGTGGCTGTTTCTTGTCCATGTATTTGTTCTTATTTTGCAATACATAAAATTAGTTTTATCTCTCTCCTGAGGTGTCTTATGCTGATATGTTTTGTTGGATAAGAACATGAATGGAGTTAATTAACCATGCATCTGCTGCTTGGTGGTGACAAGTTTTGGCTACAAAATCTTTGTGGCTGGTGACATACTGATGGTCAAAACAGCAAGGTTCATTGAATGCATAGAATCGTTTGAATTGTAAGGGATATGTTGAGATCATCTGGCCCAAATCCCCTGCAGTGAAAAGGAACACCTACCGTTCAGTCAGGTGCTCAGAGACCCATCCAGCCTGACCTTGGGTGTATCCAGGGATGAGGAAACCACCTCTCTGGACAGCCTGTGCCAGTCCTTCACTACTTTCACTATAAAAATACTTCTTCCTTATATCCAGTCTAAATCTCTCCTGTTCTCGTTTGAAACGCTTTCCCCTTGTCCTATCTCATCAGACCCTGCTAAAGAATCAGTCTCCTTCTTCCTTACAGCCTCCCTTTTGATACTGGAAGGTCACTCTGAGGTCTCCCTGGAA